TCTCCTCAGCAATCCGGGTCACCACTGCCCAGAGGTTAGAGAGGAACTTCCAGCAGAGCTGCAGTGCCCCGGGGTGGGTGCCAAACAGGAACGAGGCTTTCACAGGGATCACTTGGAAAAGGAAGTGCAGTAAATGGACCGCATTCTTTTTATTACAGCCAAGGGCAAAGGAGAATGCAGTTGAGTCAGGGTTATGTTAGAAGCCTACCTCTGCTGGAACCCAGTAAATGAAGGGTGTTAGGGTGTTTGCACAGAACAGTGACTCACAGAGTGACAGCCTTCCCTGCACTTCCATTACAAACCCAGACTGTTCATAGACAGGGTTGCTGTACCATAAACTCATTCACCAGTTTATTGCATTGTCATTTCCTTATGCAGACAAGCCCTAAAGCCGTGTCAGAAGCACCTTTGTTAGCAATACTCGTGAGCAGCCGGACACAGAAGAGAGGAGGAAGAGCACAGACTTATGAATGCTCCTAGCTCAATGTACTCAGCTCCTACCGACAAGGGAATACACGTGTCTGAGCGTGCAGCTCTTCATAGCTCGGTTTGGCCAGGAGCACAGACATTGCACCTTGGTCCTTCTGTGAGTGACAGGCACCCAGAGACAGCAAGAGAACACTGGGAAAGACAGGGATAACGCTCCTCACTAACACAGCTTCCTACACGCAGTTGCAAGAAGCAGGTTTGTCTGAACTCTCAAATCACATCAATACACAGTCACCAGGGGCTGCGTTTTCCCAGTGGCACCTGGTGGGAGATTCTCTGGTAGAACCACCAATTGTGGAACAAATTAACCTAGCAAAATTCCATGGAAATGCAGTTTTGCCAACTGGTGTGAACAGGGTGTAAGGGAAGCAGGATGGGCCACAGATACTCCGAGAAGCTTGGATGTGAGTGCAGATGTGCAGGGAGAGGGAAGCAATTCCCTAATAGGAGTCAGACTTGAAAACATCATCATATGTTCTTCCCTTGCATCTGGACTCCAAGACAGAAATGACAGAGATTCCCACTGCCCACTGTCCTTTCCCTCCCACACCCTCTCCTCATTGGGCCAACAGCAGCAGCGATGTCCAATTCTCATTATCTGTGGGCAGCAGTAGCTCTTGGTGAAACCTGAGGTCAAGAAACTACAGGCAATTCTAACAGACACAATGGGAGCTGCCCCTCCCACAGCTGCCCCATTATAGAATCATAGCATAGTTAGGGCTGGAAAGGACCTTAAGATCATCCAGTTCCAGCCCCAGTGCCATGGGCAGGGACACCTCACACTAAACCATGGCACCCAAGGCTCTGTCCAACCTGGCCTTGAACACCGCCAGGGATGGAGCATTCACAGCTTCCCTGGGCAACCCATTCCAGTGCCTCACCACCCTCACAGTAAAGAACTTCCTCCTTATATCCAATCTAAACTTCCCCTGTTTAAGTTTGAACCTGTTACCCCTTGTCCTATCACTCCAGTCCCTAATGAAGAGCCCCTCCCCAGCATCCCTACAGCCCCCCTTCAGATACTGGAAGGCTGCTCTGAGGTCTCCATGCAGCCTTCTCTTCTCTATTATCACAGCTTTTATTACATTTAAAGCCAGCGGTTTTGATGCTGGAGCTGCAGTTGTGCAAAGCCATGAAAACAGACTACCAATACAGATAAAGCACTCCCAAATTAAACAGGAGACATCATGGTAATGTACTCTGAAGTCTGAAAGCTTCTCGACCAAAGCACAGGCCACGGCAAGGAAGTCAGAGCCTGAGTGGACTGATGCTGCTGCTACCAGCCCACGGTGACACAACCACACCTTCCCACTGGGGATGGTATCAATGGCAAAGTCAGTGGGCAGGATTCAACAGGGCAAGTTGAAAGTGTTCTAGCTACAAGGGTGGACAATCAGAGCAGGATCCTGCTCCCATAATCCTTAAGAACATCCCACTACAGGGAGTGCTTGGAGAAACTGTGGCTGCCCCATCCCTGGCAGTGTTCAAGGCCAGGGTGGACACAGGAGCTTGGAGCAAGCTGCTCTAGTGGAAGGGGTCCCTGCCCATGGCAGGGGTTGGAGCTGGAGGAGCTTTGAGGTCCCTTCCAACATGAACCAATCCTGGATTTTAAGATTAACTTTGGAGTTCGTGGTCTGGATGTGCCTCCCAAGCAGCAAAGAGAAATACTCACATGTGGATGGCAATCGAGTGGACCTGTTTCAGGTGACTGTTTTATAACCAGATGCACCATGCTCCAACAGTGCCTATCTCTCTCCTTTGACTACAAAAGATGCCCTAAGGGCCAGCAGATATTCACAATAGGTAACATTAGCTATATCCCCACCATGCACTACAGTAAAGTAACCTGTGCCACTGAGAGCCTGTGCAGGAAGTGAGGAGAAAATACATTTCAAACCACATTAAATGATGAGCTGATATATTTGTCCGTGGGGCAGAAGTAACTGAGGGAGCATCTCAGCTCCTGTCTCAGAGACGTGCACAGCAACAGGCAAAGGGAAACCAGTGCCCAAAGGAACGGTCTCAAACCAACACAGTCAGAAGGAAGATGGGAAGAATTGTACTCATCCAGTGTAAGCTGTAATTTTCAGTCTAGAAATCTAGAGCTTGCTTTCTCTCAGCCTAATGTATACCATGCCCTGGAGACGTTTTCACCAGCCATCAAAAGGAACTTGCAGAGAACCAGATGCTTCATTAAAGAATATTCACCAAGCCTTATGAAATCCTTAGTAAAAAGCAGCACAACAAATCACCAGTGTGCAAGGGAGCTGGAGTCACATATCCAGCTTTGATTGCAACCTCCTGCGCTGGGAAACACGGTCTGGTTAAGAAATAAAGGGGAAAAGTACCCAAGAAATAAGAGATTCTGGCCTCTCTTTCCAACATTCCTCCAACCTGCATTTCCTGAGCGAGGAACACGCGAGACAAAGCCATTTGGCAGAAGATGCTAATTTAAACTTAAAGGAAAATAACAGCTTAAAAAGAGAAGGGAGGAGGGAGTTTTAATCCTTCTGAACAAACCCAACAGCTTGTGATCACTACACATATCTCAGGAGTCAGAGGAGGGAGGTGAATTGAGCTGTCCTGGGCCAAAGGGAATGACATGGATGTACTGCGCTACATGAGTTTTGTTGGAATGTGTTCTTGCAAAGCCTATATCTGGCTGCAAGGTTTAGCTACCCATTCCTTAATCTCTCTCAGGCCTTCGTGAAACACAGAAAAGGGATCTCCTGCCACGCTGTCATCCTCCACAAGTTAACGGCCAGTGCATTGCCCCTTCCAGGAAGTTACTATAACAGTGGGGGATAAAATTCCAAAGTTCACTGAGCACTCTGGGAACCAAGACAAGCCCCAGGGTTTGATTTAGGAAGAAACCCTTACGGAAACCCCACCACCCTCACATCCAACAACCATCCAAGTTAACAGCATCTTCCACTGCCCTCTGCTGTTACCAGTCATTCAGCTTCCAGTTCTCTCTCCCATAGCGTGAGGCTGGGCTCCGGGCTGGCAGCATCCCAGCCCCTTTCTCCGGCGGGTTGGAGCCGCAGCTTGCAAATATGCTGAAGTTTAATGCAATCTGTCTTCTTGGGTAATCACATTCCACCCGCACCGCATGCAATAAAGATGTATTGGTAAATGCATTTGCTAAAGATATACTCGAGTGGAAAGGCTACAAGCCTGATTTACAGGACGTAAGAAGGAAGCATCAGGTAACGGGGGCTGGCAGAGGATGCCCCAATGCTCTCTGTGCACAGCGACCGAGGACATGGATTGTGCAGCACAGGCACCACGTTAAAGCCGAGAAAGGAAAAGAAAGCACATGCTTGGGGAGCTGGGGACGCTAAAGATATGAGAGAAAAGCCCTTTCCCTGGCAGCTTTAACCTTGCTGATTTGCAGACATACAAAGACCTTCTTTGTAAACAGGAAGGAAAAAAATTCCACCAGGACTAGCAACAACATTTGGTCTAATATATCCTGACAATTTCCCCATCTCCTTCTGTCGGGCTGCTTCTGAGAGCTGGCTGGCAGCTTGTTTCATGTTATACTTAAATCAGGCATACAGCTTCCCTTCACAATGCTAATGCGACAGAGAAAGACTGCTGCTATGAAATCTCCACCTCTTCCCCATCCTTTCCATTAGCAATCCCAGGAGAGGAGTCTCAGTGTTCTATTCCCAGAAGGCTCCATCCCAAATCCACCTTAATACAGTCTCAGCACCTTTTCACTTCTCTGGGCAGCCTACCTTGAGATAGGCCCAACCCACTGAATTCTCACATGGGGAACTGCATCCTTCACACTGCAGATATCCCAAGCAGCAGCTTATGTCTAACCACTCGGTTTTCCCAAGACCATATCCCAGTTGCAAGGTCGAAACACTTCATTTTTACTTTATCCTCCACTTGTTTCAATAGCCAGAAATCCTTCCAAGGTACTGAGCAGCCGCTGTCCTACAGCATCCACAAGGGCTCTGCATCTCAGAAGGAAGAGCCATAAGGTTTGCTGCCCCCACGAGATGAACACTTCCCAGGAGTGTGCCATTCTCCTGACAGCAGCTTTGCCCAGTAAAGCAGCTTTCCTCATGCAGCACAAAAAGAAGCAAGATCTCCAACTGCAAAGTCCCATAATAGGAGAATGCTTAGAGCCTGTTTAAAATGCTGCCAACACCAGCAAAAGGGATCTGCCTACTGCTTGCAGCGCACAGTGTTCACAAAGGCAAAACTTGGGAAAATCACTGTGACTCACTTTGAAACCCTAGAGCATCCACAGTGCTGGTTTGGTGGCAGCTCAGTACAACAGGAGCCACTGAGGGGAGTGAAGCCGGGACATACCACAGTGTGACTGGGCAACGTGGAATCAATGTGGGAAAATGGATCCCAAGGGAAACGTGGCTCCTATGAAGGCTGCAATTTGACTAACAGGTACCACAGCTCTCAGAAACGCTTCAGAGAAGAAAACACCATGCAAAACAAGAGAGCAAAGCCAGCAAGTCCAACAGGGAAGCCTTTGTTACCTTCTGAGCTGCACTAACACAGCGCCGGTATTCCTTAGCCAGCTCGGAGCATTTGAGCACTTCACGTTTGTTTTCTTGGTAGCACTTGAGGATTTCAGCCTGGAGGCTTGCACAGACAGGATCCGTGTTCCTCCTCCTGCAGGGAAAACAAGCGCAGAGAGATGTGTGAAGCGGAGTTACTGCCCACTTACTATCACTTTACCAGTGACACACATACTGATCTGGTGCTGGAGTCACCTCATCCTAATAGAGGAACTGGTGGGAGCAGCAATCACCAATGTGGGTCAATGACCAACAGACTCTTCCAGCTGAGAATTCCAGCAGGAAGAAGGAACTTGCTGTCTCTAGGTTGGTGTGGAAGCCTGTTCTACCCTGAGGCAAAACATCACCTCCCCTCTGCCGCCAGGAAGGAGAATAAAGGAAAACAGATCAGTTCCAAGAGGTTCAATGATATTCCCAACTCACACTGGAAATCTTTGGCAGAACTCAGGAATCCTGGCTGGGCCTGCGCGAGATCTGCAACAGCCTGACAAGGAACTGCACGGACTTGTTGAATAAGCTGCCTGGATCTATTGAATTCTCATCTATTTAAACAGTTCAAACCCTCCAGCATGGTTGGAAGCACTGCAATTCTCCCAGTGACTAGAAAAAAAACAATAATAGCTAGAGCACGTATCTGTTTCTTTGTATTTCTGAAGCAATTAGTACTCAGACCCCGTAAATGGCATTGACAGCTACCCAAGAACAATTAGGGATGATGTTCTTATACTCTAATGTGCATGTGTACATATGGCACATCATCAGCAACAGTACCAATAGAGGGGAAGGTCTTTGTAAAACAATCCCAGCAACAATGGCACACACACAGTAACACAGTGTCATCAGCTGCATAGACAGGCACAAATTGCAGGAATTTGCAGCACAATTGCCATGGATTGTTTTACCAGACAACAAGAGAACATATGTTTAGGTGTAGCAACCCTCACACACTGCCTCCCAAAGCATAAATCCATTTAATTCCTTGCATTTTCTGTCCAATATGCTTAGAGAGATCTGTGCCTAAATATCAAACACACCTCTTCCTTCCGGGGCACTTGATGCTTCAGGCAGGCGTTAATGCTATGATGTGATATATTCATTTCCACAGTCACAACAGCAGGTCCTCATTCAGCAAAAGGGCTTCATAGCAAGGCAGTGAGAAAACACTGAATCACAGAGTGCTTTGGGTTGAAGGGACCTTAAAGCTCCTCCAGCTCCACCCCCTGCCACGGGCAGGGACCCCTTCCACTAGAGCAGCTTGTTCCAAGCCCCTGTGTCCAACCTGGCCTTGAACACTGCCAGGGATGAGGCAGCCACAGCTTCTCTGGGCACCCTGTGCCAGCGCCTCAGCACCCTTACAGGGAAGAGCTTCTGCCTAAGAGCTCAGCTCAGTCTCCCCTCTGGCAGGTTAAAGCCATTCCGGCCCTTGCAGCATCTCTGTGGCCTCCGGACTCACTCCAGCAGGTCCACGTGTCTCTTGTGCTGGGACCAGGAGCAGGACTTGCTCCTGGGCATGTCTCATGCTCTCAGGTAGAACATATCTAAGAAACATGAAATATTAAACAAAGATTTCCTAAAAGCTTTTGGAAAGCTCGGATATGAGTTTCCAACTCATTCTGTCCTTTCTGCATCAGCAACCTGGATGCTCCCTCAACGCAGTCTGGATGAGACACACTCCAAATGATACTTCTCAGTCCCCGCTCTTACTGTCAGCATATGTGGGCAGAGGAAGGATTTATCAGTATCAGTGTGACAGCCACACTCTGAGGTGCTGAGCCACCAAAGATCAGAAGCCACCAAAGACACGAGACAGACTTCTCGTTCCACCTCTTCACTAATCCTCCAGCTCTCAGAAGAAACTTCTTCCATACGTGGTCCCCAGAGGCCCGTGTGCATTTCTAATTTGTGTGTTCTGAAGCAAATCGCGTTTAAAGCCTCTAAAAATCCATATTCTAAAGAAAAAAAAAACAACTTCAAATTTTGGAATAGGGAAGAATCCAGGGAGAGCTTCAGAAACTCATAATGTTGGCATTTTACTTTGTCACTAACTTTAATATCACTCTAATCAAATCAGTGAGACTGTGGAGATGATACCAAACAATACCAGGTCAGGAAATACCACCAAATCCCTCAATTCATTGAAAAAGTTAAGACTTTTAAAATTAAGGTTTTCTTTAAAACTCAGCCATGTTAAACTGAAGGGCGTTTTGTCATTTTCATGCCGAGAGCTGGAAGAGCAAAAAGGTACAGCATGAACAGCCTGCATTCATCTGAACTGAAGGTGGTACGAGCATCTCCAGTACCTAGAAGGATGCTTGCCATTGTCAGCATAGAGAGCTATAGGAATTGTGGGGTTTTTCTTGTCTGTTCCTTCCCTACCTCTCCTACAGCATCAGTCTTCACTGCCTAGAGTAAATACAAAGCCAGGACCTACCTGTGGGGTCAGAGTAGTGCAAAGTCTGGAACAGGTCCAGGGAAGGGCAATGGAGCTGGTGCAGGGCCTGGAGCACAAGTGTTGCTTGAAGCCTAACAGAGGGATCACCCCACAGGCAATGGCATGTGCTGCCCAGCGAGCACCTAAATCAGTGTTTGCCCATGCCACTAACCACAGCACAGAGAGGATTTACTGGGTCCCAGGTACCCAGACCCATAACAAGAATATTCTCCTTTATTTCTTCAAAACCAAACCTCAAGCTGTGGTTATGCATCAATTGCCCCAGCTTCTTAAAACAGATTTAGAGAAGCTAATCAACACAGAGCTTAGTTGGTTACACTGATTATCAATACAAATTACATAAACCAATGTATTTGTGCATTCACAAGTGAACTGGAAACTCAATAGAACCAGCTAAATCCCACTGAGAATGACAGATTTTCTTTTGGAGTGGGAAGCTAGTGCTGCTCAGGAGACAACCGTCCCTGTGCCCACCATACACTGTGATCGATGAAACCAAAGGACACACTGTATGGAAGCACATCCTGTGGAGTCCAGGAGTACACACGTTACTCACCTCCAGCAGACGAGTTCTGGTACCCATCGTGACTGAAAAGGGGGAGATCTGAACTGTTCTGGTGTCAAACTGCTCGAGGAGCTTTCCTCCTAGCACAGCAATCACTACTCTTCTCCTGCTCACATGAAGTCTCTTAACTTTAGGTTGCAACACTTCTACATATGGGGAACTACAGCCCTATACATCAGTTACACCTTAGAGCTGTCTGGCTTTACTTGGAAAGGAATTTACTTTACTTTACACAGGAAGAGGAATTTAACATGAAAGATGTGATGGAGGCCAGCAGGATCTAACTACAAACACCTCTGTGGAGAGCAATGGCACAGTGACTTCCAAAGGACCTTCCTCAGTTACCTCCCTTCAACCTCAGCCCAGCTCAAGGCTGTTGGCACTAACCAGCCTCTAGAAAAACTCCTCTTCTGGACACTCCACTGCTCCTGGCAAGCATCTCATTGCTTGAGGGGGTTCATTACTATTTCTTAATCAATGAGGGGGAAGGAACATGGTGGATCAGGGATGGGGTTTGAATACATGAAGACCAGAAGACCAGGATGGGCTTGGAATACGGGTCAGTTCTAAGCATAATATGCCACCACCAAGTAAGGCAGACAATTAGTTTCTGCCTAACGTAAAACACATTGCAATTGCTATCACTATCATCAAAACAAATGTAAGAGGCTCATTTATAGCAGCTAAGGCAAGAGAGAAAGGCAGGGCTGGGAGGGATGAGGCCAATACCTAGACAGGGAAGTATGGGAGATGAGCTCTGACAATACCTTGGAAGTAATTGCAGGATATAGAGAATATGAATGATTAAAGCCTTAACGCACCCTCTCATCTGCTTGAAGGAAGAAAGGTGGGAGAAAGATCTAGAAACGCAACTGATTATCAGTGCCCCTCACGACTGGGCAAGAAACCTTTGTCTCACCACCATTCAATGGGAAGGAATGAACATGCACATGGAATCCATGATTTTGGATCCGCCTCTCCCCCTCCCAGGGAAGGTTCTAAATCAGGTCTTTGCCTGGAACAGAAGGGAGACGTTTTCTTAAAATGAAACAAAGGGCATCCTTCTCTCTGCTATCCCTTGAGGTAAAACACAACGAGCATGATCTTGCTGCATTTTGACACGCCGAGAGTTACCAAATCCTCTCTATCACTGCGTATTCCCTTTACTTTATTTAATAAATGAAATCTCATCAACTTATCCTTCTTCTATTATCACTGCTGACATCAATCTGATAATATTGGCTTGGCGTGGAATCGTGCTATTATATGTCCTCTTGATATTTAATTTAAGAGAAACGTCTGCAGTGGGGTGAATATGTGAAGCAAGCTTTTTATTACTGGCAGCAGTAAGGACGCTGGGAGTGAATTAGACATTCATCTTAGTCAGGGCCAATCTAGAGGCTCAGAAGAGGTTTTCTTCTTAACCCTCTCCTACCTGTTCAATTGCGGCAGGTAACGGCTGCTCCAGTCAATAACGGCATTCATTTGTCTTGGCAAATTCATTTCTACATGGACATAAACCCCGTGAAGAAGCGCTAAGCGCCAGGGAGGTGAAAGCAAGGTTCTTTGAGAACTCCCATCGTAAGTTCTGCGACCGCTGGTCTAAATGTCCATCAATTAATCAAGAAGCAGCACAGCTTCCAAAGACAAACACCAGCTCACTGCAAGGAGCGATTAAGGCAGTATCACCAGGATGCAGACCCCTTTGAAGGTCTCAAACACAGCTCAATGGTTACAAGCTGCTCGCTGCTGACAGGTCCCTTTCTTGGAAGAAGAATTACACTCAATGTTGGGAAAGCTGGAAAATGCGTCCCTATTTGCTGGTCCTTTTATCCAGCTGAGAAGTCAGACTAGGCAAGTGGAGATACAGCTTCAATGCTTTAGGACCCAGCAGCTCTTCAGACTAGTGTAAAACCGGTAACTCCACAGTGAGCACCGCAGCATCACTTGGCTTTACCAGGGAGAGCAGCAACTCAAGGTGGAGTTAAGAGCAAGATCCTCTTTTTACCTTTTCCTTTAGGAACCACTCAAGCTGAGAAAAACCTCATGATGGAGACTGATGGTACCTAAACCTTGA